CAGCTGCGGTCTTTAGCGATGCTGCATCGGAGATGCGGGCCGGCTTTACGCCGCCAGTGAAGGCGTCCCCCCGCGCCATCAACTGCGGTCTTTAGTCCTGCTGCATCGGAGATGCGGGCCGGCTTTACGCCGCCAGTGAAGGCGTCCCCCCACGCCATCAGCTGCGGTCTTTAGCGATGCTGCATCGGAGATGCGGGCCGGCTTTACGCCGCCAGTGAAGGCGTCCCCCCGCGCCATCAGCTGCGGTCTTTAGCGATGCTGTGATTGTTCTGCTCTGTTATCCGTCCTGTCAAACCAGGGTTATGGAGCCATGTCCCTCAGCCTCAGGGGGCTTTTACACTATTACTGGAATATGTTGAAGACAAATTAAATGTGGAGGGCAGTATGTGGTTCCGCAGGTTATGGTGCTGTGCCTGCGATCGGAAGGTTGCCGGTTCTAACCCCAGGGTCTGCAGAGTCATTTTATGTTGAACCCTTTATCAAGGCCCCTAACCCGTAATTGCTCCAAAGACTATCTGATTCTGCTTTTTCAATCTGGGACTCGAACCAACAGCCTCCTGTTTCCTACCATAATTACTTGTTTTTAGCCCATCTCTGGAGTGAGAAGGTTAATTACTGACATGCTTGTTTATCTCTGTGTGTTTGGCTGTTTGCAGCGAAAAGCCTGTCCTCTCCGCCTCAGTCCCCAACATCTCCATCTCCTCCGCCACCCCCCCTGCTGGCTGATGGTTCCCACTTCATGTGTGTGTAGTGGCAACAGTAAGCACTTTTTTTTTTTAAACAAAAAACCGTTCCATAGCTTTGCATGTGTTTTAGCCTCTAGTAGCAAACCTGCTAATACCTGCTCTGCTGCTTTTTTTCTTAAGAGGTCCATTTTAAGGGGTCCGCTTGCCTTTATGTGACCACACACATAGTATCTACTCATCCAGTCGCAGGGTAGCTAGAGTCTTCTCATCCGTTTATATGCTATGAAGAGACATGGTCTGCAGGGCATATCTGTCGGGACAACTGGCCGGATCGGACCCAGTGTATGTACATTTCCAACCCAGAGAGGGTGTCCGTGATTCCTCCTGCAAGCCAGGAGGTCCAGATTAATCGAGCTTTTAACTTGCCAAGCCAAAGGCAGCCTTTTCCCGGGCCAGCAACTGCAGCAACGAATTGTCATTGTGGTAGAGGCATCTTCAGAGCAGAATAGGGAGGTCAGAAAGGCCCAGGAAGGTGCCTCAGGACGGGGGCCAAGCAGCTCTGTCCAGCACAGGCCAACAGAGATGCGTGGCCGGCGTGTGCTCGGGGTGTACGCCGGTAAGGAGTGCTGGCAGGCCTCATGTGGCCGGCGTGTGCTCGGGGTGTACGCCGGTAAGGAGTGCTGGCAGGCCTCATGTGGCCGGTGTGTGCTCAGGATGTACGCCGGTAAGGAGTGCTGGCAGGCCTCATGCCAGCGTGATTTTCTAAGTGTTGCGTCGGGGTGACTGGGGGCTTAGGCCCCTTCTTAACTGCTCTGAAGTCATGGTAGGGGTCTGTATGTTAGGGGTCTGCATGGTTTGGGTTTGCAAAGCAGGCCGCTGCTGATGTCTGCCTGAGAACAAGGAGCAGTGCAGCTGTTAGCCCATAAAGTCACAGCGAGCTCTGAGGGTGCCACCAGTGAGCCTGGCAACAGGCAGCTCAGTTACCCTGCGAAACATCAGCTGGTCCCTGGGCTCTTCCTGGAAGTTCCTCTCCTCTGCTTCTCCCTTTGACATCAGAGTTTGAGTTTCTGTTGTTCAGATTGGCAGTTACAGATATGATTTTCTCCAAGAAACAGGCAAAGTTCCATAATTTTCAAGTTTTTAAGACACAGAGGATGACAAACTTAACAGAGAACAGAACTTTGCATGATCTTTGGCTTCTCTTATCAGTAAAAACACTCATGAGTTGTGGTAGATAGTGTGTTTTTTTGTTTGTTTTTTTAGCAGATCTGTATTCTGTCCATGTTGACAGTGGCCATGACGTATCAGCGATCGTCTGCTCATAATCAGACCTCCAGCCTCGTGGTGTTTAACAGACTTAATGGCCATGTCTACCTTTTACATCCGGGGTCGTTATTTTAATGTGCATCCTGTGACTGTCCCTCCCCCCACAGTCCAAGCCCTGGCCTCCGGTAAGACATACACATGAGGGCTTCTGGGACGGAGGTGACAGGCCCTCCCCCATCGCGCTTCCTGGCCCCAGGGCAACCTGCACAGCGCATCCATGACACGCACTTTAGGGAGCCTACCGCCAGGCAGACGGGCTCCTCTGACTGACCTCTGGCATCTTCCAGCTCCCACCTGAGACTCTGTGCCAGCAGGGGGCAGCATGGAAAGGAGAGGACCTTATTCTGTCACCAACATCATCATCATCATATTATTATTATTATTATTATTATTATTATTATTACTGTTGTTAATGAGTTTTACCAGTTTCCGGCAGTTGAGTTGAAGGACAGTAGTGATCTTTCCCAGTGCAGGTCACTCCTGATTTGGAGACCAGATTCACTCTGACACTGACACTATGCCAACTGTACTTCAGCCAAGCAGCAATAGTGATTCTCTGCTTTGTATTTAATTTCTTATTTTAATCCAGCCAGTGTTCATTTTTACAAGTTTAATCCTTTTTTTTATTTTTTATTTGTCACACTTTGGACTTTTACTGCCTTGTTTTGTAAACCACCTTTTTGTTTTTTATATATTAAAAGTATATATATAAATATATAGTTGATTTTTAATTCAATAAGGTGCCACTTTATTGCTGCAGATAGACAGATTTGTAATATTTTTTCGGGTTACTAGTATGTATATGTGGGATCACCTGCAGTCTCGACCACACTGTAGCCGACACACACGAATGTCACGGCATCGAACCCGCTTCTCTGCATCTTCGTTGGCTGAGATGTGCTTGGATAGAGTGAGACACCACTTTCCAGAGTTTCTGTCGCAGTTCCATTTCCTACCAGCTGGGGGAGACTTGGAATCGGAGAGGAGAATAGCACATGTAAAAGCAATACCCAAGGTTTGCTTATGCAAGACTTTGGTTTTGTGTACAAAGTGTAATTACAGAGAGCCCATTGTGTATAAACTGTATACCGTGCAACAACAAAGCTGCTGTAACTGTAAGAGGCTAATTATTAGAGTGCATATGCAAATGTTCATAACCGCATCTGTTTTATATCATGTTAAATAAATGTTGCCCTTCTTACTCTGGTGTGGTACCAGTTCCTGCTGTTTGCTGTGAAGGTCCGGAGCCAGATCAGGCTCTTCTGCAGTGCCGCCGCAAATGATAAATCCTGCTTCCCGCATTTAATTCATTCGCAGGACTGATTCTGAGCTTCAAACTGCCGAGGTAAGCAGAGGGTTTAAATCTGGGGTCTCCTCTGTCCTTCCAGCCTGCTTGGCACTGTGGTCTCGCTCCACTCCTGAGTGCAGTAACTACTCATCATTACCCCTGTTATATGGGCAGAGTGGCTGGCCACTAGTTGGATTACAGTTCAATGTATGTGAGGGTGGTCTGCCTTTCACCTTAAACCCGCTGTTTTTATAGATGACTTTGGTAGGAAATGCAAATGAGATTTTATTTCTGTGCCACCAAATTCAGGGTGTAAGGGAAAACAAAGGAAATCTTCATCAAAGCCACCTAAATGCATGTAAATGATGTGTGGTGACATCAGCAGGTCTCCCTCTGGTCACCACGGCGATCAGTCTTTCATTGTTCTGAGCTGAAAACAATTCAATAGATGCCATTCAGTATGTTTGTGGATTTGTCAAGACTTGGAGGCTAAGGGGTGGCCAATCGAGCAGCAGAGACCTCACAGTTCCTGGACAAACTGCATCTGCTGAGGATTTAGCACCTTGTGCAAACCACCCACAGTGGTCTAATGAGCCCATTTGCAAACATAGACTGTTTACCAACATGGAATCAGGATAAAAAAAATCAATCTCCCTTTTGTCTGTTGTAATGACTTCTTACTATGTATGTGCTCAATACAGAGAGGAACAGTCAGCGATGATCTGCCGAAGACGGCTTGGCTCTGGGCGAGGCCGTGGTGCCTTCTGGTACCAGCACCGTGGCCCAGACATACCAGGGATGCCAAGACCATCAATCCCACTGAAATTGCCTATAATTAAACTTCAGAAGTAGGCAGAGGAACACAAGGAATGAGGGCTGTGAGATCGATTCAATTGTTATGGTCATGAACACAACATGTGGGCACATTGGTAAATGAAAAGAGAAATGCGACTTCACCAGGACATGCGAGACGTGGAGGATGGGGGGGGGTTATATAAATTACACAGGTCTACATGAAAAAAAAAATTAAGGTGCCAAGGTTTTTTGAATAGATTTAGGGTATTTTTAGAGTGCTGAATTGGTTCTAGTTTTTGAGATAATGGATATCCATGAAAATAATGCATTCCCCCAATGCGACTTGTGTGTGATGACAAATGCAATAGCTTTTGGTCTCTTTTGACTCTCTAACAGTGTCTAAGGTAATGAAATATCCCATATAATTATTTTGTATTTCAATTTGTAGGCCTACAATGCTACAAAAGCGACTTTTTGAAGCCAGAATTCAACTGTGAATTTGCAGAGGAAAGAAGTCTGCTACAGTATAAGTTTATCAACCCAATCATGGTTTATACCCAAAAAGTTCTGTCTTAATAAATATATAAATACTGTACATGTAAAAATTATGACTTCATCAAGAAGAGCCTGCATCAACAATCCAATTTTACCAAATGCATGAATGACACAGGCTTCGGTCTGGAAGAGTTTTGTCTCTGTTGTGAAGAACTACTTGGGTAATCACAGAGCAGACAATAATGAAGAATTGGTGCAAGATATGCTTGCTAATTTCAGATATTTGGGAGTTAACATGAGCATGATCTCCATAGCCATTTAAACAGATTTCCAGATAACCTTGGAGACTTCAGCGAGGAACAAGGTGAGAGGTTCCACCAGGATATGAAGGTGATGGAGGAGAGATATCAAGGCAGTTGGGACATACACATGATGGCAGACTACTGTTGGGGTCTCCTACGTGATTGTCCTGATGACACATAAAAGGAAATCACATAAACAGCGTTTTTTGAAGCATTGACATTAGTAACAATAACTAATATTGTATTAATCAAATCATAACTTTCTCCTGTCACTGTTAGATATTTTTAATTTCTTTTTTATATGATGTTAGACTGTTTACTTACTAGTTGTAACTAAAATAAAAATATTCTTGCAATTCTGAATGCTTTTCAAATGTGTTGCATTAATTAATTTATTAACTATTAAATATCTCAGAAACTAGAGCCAATCTGGCAAAACCGAAGTCATATTCTTAATCAGTACCATAAACTAAAACTGTTCAGACATTGTTGGCACCAAAATCACTATACCAGCGTTATACATAAATTAGACATACGTCATCCAAATTATATGTAAGTTGTCCAGATGTACATGAATTAAAAGTACAGGCTAGAAACAGATACGCATTTTAACATATACATACAGATATCAGCATGTCTCCATAGATGAGACCGCGTCTACTGAGATACTGAAATGGAGCTGAGCAGTGCATGGTAAACACAGCAGATATAAGGTGCAGATAAAATTGTGCAAATGGCAAGTGAGGGTTCAGTTTGGGGGGAGGGAGGGGGCTCTTCAGATTCTTCCTTAGAGCAAAAGTCCAGAAACCTCTTGCTTTGAACTTCACGTGTCTTTGAAGCACAGCTGGCTGTAAGTTTCTTTTCTTCCTTTATACATGGCAAACAAGGCAGACAGACCTTTGTTGTTGTCAGTAGTTAAATCTGTCAACTGAAAAACCTGGTGAGAGCATGGTGATGCCTAAATCTTATTTATTTCCATGTATCAGCCTCTTTAGGGGTTGGGTGTAGGGAAACTGGAGATTAGCATGTTCATCTAACTGAACATCAAAGCACCCAACACAGCTTCCAGATCAGAATGAGAGCCACCCTAACAGAATCGAATCTGGCCGTGAAAAACAATGCCTGCGTTGTCACTGGTGCTAAAAGGCTGTCGGGTGTCTCTCTGGGGGGTCTGGCTTTGAAGTGCAGAGGGGACTGAAGCGTCCTCTGGCTCCGTCTGCCCATTTTTGGTGAGACATGGTTATCCCAGGAGGCGCCGTCCTCCACATTCAGACACACAGCTATAAAATATTCAGATGACTGAGGATGTAACCTGTGGAGGGCGCTAGAGGGGGGCACAATAAGGTCCTTAGGTGAAGTGACAAGGGGAGCCTCCGCTTGTTGATGTGTGGGTGCTGACTGAGTCAGTTCCTGGGTCGGGGTCAGATCTGTGCCATTTCAGTGCCGAAAACTCTTACTCGATGTCATTCAGATTTTATCGTAAGCCGCTACAGAGGTCTTTGTTTGAAAATGACGTTTTAAAACTAATTTCTAAAAACAGTCATAAAAATTGTATATTTTTGCATCTTATAAAGATGTTTGTGTCTCTTTGTTTGATTATTTGTTCTGTCCTAGACTGTTTTAAAATGTGCATTTCTTGTTAGGAAAGTCTACTCCATATCAGGAATTTGGTGCAAAAAAAAATGTCTGTGCAACGAGGCACATAATTGGTAGAAGATTTAGTTTCCTTATGTTCTCATTCTAAGCACTAACTGACATAGGAAGACTTTGCATAACTGCTGGGCACTGTTCAGCACTCAGCACTCAACACCCCCCCCCCCCCCCCCCCCCCCCCCCCACCACCCACGCCTCCCCCATACACCTGTCACTTTACCTTATTATTATTTATTTATTACTGTCAGTCATCTGATACTCTTCTAGTGTTTTTGCTTCTACATAATTTTTTATTGTTCACATACAACTTTTGAGGCACTGTGTATATAAGCCCCTGTGTGCAGCCCCCCTGCATCACCCTGTCCTGTGTTTTTGCACTTTGAAGCACTGTGAAGCCCTCAGTGTCTGTATGTCACACTGTGGTCCTGGGGGAAAAGTTATTTCATGCCACCCAGTACATGGGAGGTATCATAATAAAGCCCACTTGGCCGCTCTATACCTGTACATGGGAGGTATCATAATAAAGCCCACTTGGCCGCTCTATACCTGTACATGGGCGGTATCATAATAAAGCCCACTTGGCCGCTCTATACCTGTACATGGGAGGTATCATAATAAAGCCAACTTGGCCGCTCTATACCTGTACATGGGTGGTATCATAATAAAGCCCACTTGGCCGCTCTATACCTGTATATGGATGGTATCGTACTGAAGCCCACTTGGATTTACTTGATGAATGTAAACAATTAATTAAAAACAAACACTCCCTTATTGCTTCAGTCCAGAAGAGTCCAGAAGAGACCAGGGCTAAAAATGGAAAAGGAATTGTATTTGTAAGCAAATGTGCATTCAAATAATGTTCAAGGAATATTTTAATCCCACAGGCAAAACTACAGACAAGTTATACATAAGGATAACTACATATTCTTTATGGATAGTACCTTTTATTTGACTTTAAAATATGCTGTGGTCTGTGTAGATAAGGTTGGCTCAAACAGTTCTACTGAAATTTCCTCGAAATTACCTTGAGCAGTGACTTCTCCTTTGCTGTCATTAGGCCTTTGAATCACACTACGAGACTGTCACTCTTCTGTTAATAGCTGTCATTAAAATATATGTTTTTACCTTGTTGCACTGTCTGCTCCACATTACTCTTACTGGAGCCTGGGGCTTTGAATGTGCCCTCTGCCTCAGAAAATAGCAGTCGAGAAACCATAGAAACCAAAAGCTGAACAACCCAGTGGGAAGTCTGGCTCCTATAGACATGAGCTCTGGGCTGAAAGACTTCTATAGACTCCGATTACAAAATTTGAGTGGTTTTTAGGCAAAACTATATGATTGCTCCAATTGGGAAAAAAATCCATCCATCCATTGTCTGTAACTGGTTATCCACAGTCGCAGGGGGTCCAGAGCCTATCCTGCAGACTACAGGCGCAAGGCAGGGAACAACCCTGGATGTGAGCCGACCTATCACAGGCAAAGAAACAGAGAGGCTGTAATATGGTAAAGGCATGAAGAATTTTTGTTGTTTTGTTTTCAAATTACTTTAATCTATACCTGCGTTCTGCATGTTCAGCATATTTAGCACCCTAAATATGTAATTATTAAATTATGTAATTAGTATCACGAACGAAAATTGGTCGTCATAAACAGGAGGGTCTTGATGCAGGAGTTACAGCGCCCTCTGCTGTTTGTTTTCTGAGTACAGTGCTCTTTGAAAGCGGCTTCTTAACGCTGCGTTAGGCCGCGTTTAAACATAAAACATCACTGGGTCCATTTGGAGCCAGTTCGGAAGCTTAATTTTCTAAAATTATGTTGATATATTTTAAATATCTATGCATGGCACATTGCTGACTGTAGAAATCCTATCTGGACATCCCATATTTGTCAGATGTTAGGTAGCCTAATTCCACATAGATTCCATTAGTTCATTACGGAAAGTCCTGTGGAACATAATTATTTATTGATTATTAATTAAAAGTAACTGAAATGTGTAAGGTTCATTTTGACTAAGAAATGACCCGCAACCTGGGTCTAGAGAACGAAATGTGCCTCCTAGTTTCCCAGTCTGTGATGGTGGACTTCAAGGACCACAATGCATTGGTGCATCACGCTGAAACAACGTGATTACAGGCACGTACAGAGCTGAGGGGAATGAGTACTGCAATGGTTTCGCTGTTTGAGTGTTTTTCAGCGCACAACCATCATCACCTGCATAACCACGCGTATGATTAATACGACTTGGGTTTGATCACGCTCGGTGACAGGATTTAAAGGAATGTTGTGTGTATAGTGCGCGCTATTTTTTTACAACATATAGTTACGTGTCATGATTGTCGTGGAAAACGAAAATTCGCTTTAGTTTCAGCGCTTAAAGTACATCCATGATGCTTTATGGTCTCGACGTAGACAACGATTCGTATCTATAAAAATACTTTGCGATTTCAAAGCGACCGCCTTGCTGCCGCCTCCCAGGACACGTGCATGCGTTCGACACGACAGGGACACTACGTCACGGCCAGGCTCGACCCCTCCCCTCCCCTCCACCGCGTCGGCGTGCGAACCCGCGTGGGGTGGGGGGCGGTTCGTGCGCGTGTGTCTGAAAGAGCTCCGCGAGCCACAGGACGCTCAAAGATGGCTGCCATTGCGACCGATAGTGTCCGACAGGGCTCTCCGCAGCCGAGTACCCGTGACGAGACGCCGCTGAAAATGGAGGCCCAGGAAGAGAAGGGGGGCTTGCGGGACACAGAGCGAGGGTCTGGTGACAGTGAAGCTGTAAAAATGGAAGGAGATGTCGAGAAAGACTCCGAGGGAAGGGACGACCGGGCTTTGGTCGCGCCCGACGCCGGCGAGGTGGTAGCCGCAGTCAGAGCGATGGGAGCCGGCGACGACGACGAGGAGGAGGAAGAGGAGGAAATGGTGTGCGAGCTCACGGGAGCCGGGGAGAGCCCGGAGCAGCAGAGTCCGGCTAGCTGCAGCGACGCCGGGGACGGGACGGAGAAGGAGCCGAAGAGGGAACAAAGAGATGAGAGCGAGTCCTCGCCGGGCGACCGCGTTAAGGGCAAAGGCGACGATACGGCGGGGAAAAGCGCCGGGGGAGGGAGCCACCGTGCTGGCGGTGACAAGAGGCGAGCCAGCGTGGAGATGTCATCATCGGACGGGGAGCCTCTCAGCCGCATGGACTCCGAGGACAGGTCAGTGCGGGGAACCGCCATATCCCCAGTTGCTAGGGTCGCTCCGCTCGCCGGTGGGCCCCCCAGTCTCGTCGTGTCACCACGGGGGAGGTGGGGGGGGTCCCGGCTTTTCATCACTGTCACCAGTTTAACATGACAAATGGAGGGAGAGGTCAGCGCCTCGACCCCCGGTCTGAATGAGAGCGCAGGAAGCCCCAAAGAGCCTCGGCTCACCGGCAGGTCTGACAGCGCCCGGGCGGACGGACGTGGACGGTAGATCCAGCGTGTTACAAGCAGGTCTCACCTTCTCACCTTTCAGTGATGTTTTTTAATGTTAGTACTTCTATGATCTGGTTGTTATTGCATAGTTATCTCGTCAGTATAAGCACACAGCCCTCAGTTGTAAGTTGCGACCTGCTTTGGCCCCAATTACGGTTTGGTGTCAAATGGGCTACGGGAAGCTGCCCTCCTACCAGTTTTGTTGTTTAACTGGCTTTCTGGCTGATATTATGGAACATTGTTACGACTATATTGTATATACTGCTTAGACCATGAAATGTATCCCGCGTGCAGGTTAAAGTTGTGCTTTTAAGTATAGTATTGCAGTAATGTGTAAGAGATTGTGTGTGCATTTAAAGAAATTTATAAGGTGTACAAAGAAAACTGGTGGTGGGGTGATTCTTGCAATGACTCAAACGTGAACTCAAACATTCATTCATGTGTGAAGCAGCTATTCAACCTTGTAAGTACATATGAATGACACTTTGCAGAATGAATGAATGCACTTTTCCTTGGCATTGCCCTTATGTCTCACCCGCTTGTTGCTGGCTCGCCGGGGAAGCAGGAGGGGCATGCAGGGGCTGGCGTCAGACGCATGGCAGCTGCCGTGTGGCTGAGAACCTGGACTCGAGTCTGGCCACAAGGCTCTTCTGCCTTATCCCACAGCTGAATATCCATTGTGTTTCACTGTGGTCTCACTGTGACTTTCCTCCCAAATAGCGCATCTTAATCAGAGTGATAGCAGGCTTTCTCCTTGAAAAATGTACAGTTTTGTGGTATTTTAACTTTAGCAGTAGTAACATAATTATATAAAGATCAGGACAAGAAAGTGATTTTAAAACACAGCATCTCCAATGTTGTAAACATATTGTTGTGAAAATCATATGGTTATGAAGCGGTTAACCTTAATTATATTGTGGTTTGGATGATTTAAAAAGATTATTAGAATGATTTATCCTTACAGTTGCGATGCCTGTACTTTAAAGTTTTTTTTTTATGTATATTGTAGAGAAAAAAAAATCATGCACAGTGAACTGATTTAATGATGCTGTTTTTGAAAGAAGGCAAAACATTTCTCTTAAGCATAGATTTGAAGAAATGACTAAAGAACAGATGTTCCTACCAAGAAGAGTGAGATCTGAATATTGGAATCAAGAGCAACTGTGACAGTTAAATGATTTGATCTTTATCTGTTCTATTTAGGTACCACCAAAAGATATTCCAAGATATTAATTATTTTTAAATAGAATGGATTCTTCTTCTTTCTATTTAAGTAACACCAAAGATGTTCTAGGAACGTCTTTTCCACTGAAAGATGTTGAAAGTTCTTTTGAAAGTTTTTTTTTTTTTGGTACACATTAACGCCAACGTCTTAAAGCTGTGACAAGTTGAAGGAAGGACGACATCAGTCCTCAGTGGAGGCAAGCTTGACTGCATGCACCCACAACACCACCAGGCGACTGTAGTCTGCTCCTCAGGGGCCAGTAGACCGCGGGTGCCCTGGCGTGCTTCTGTGTGGCTCACAGAACAGCGTTCCTGAAGGGAACCCAACTGATTTATGATAAAATCTGACGTTATGTTTAATACAAATGAATGTCGGCGTGTTACACTTGAGATTTTATCTACTAAGTTTGCTTACGTTTGTAAGATGCTTAAAGATATGACCGCTCAGTGTTGTGTCGGAAGCCCACATGCTTTTTTTGGAGTGAAATTGATACCCCACTTGGAAAGACCCCTGATACACCGGTGTGGTATCGAAAGCGGCAGTCTGCAGTGCAGCTCCATGTCTGCATGTGCCTAGAGAGAGACAGCAAATGGCCATCGGGCAGCGTGAAGCCTCATTCATTATGTCCCCAGGATCTTT